GGGTGGCGCAGGGAGTCGTAGCAGATCGCATGAGTATTTGTTTTGCTGCTCCCCGCAGGTGTGGGGCATGCCCCTTGTTGCTCTCAGCCCGGGAGGACCCTGGACGTGGGAGTTTGAAGCGTAGGTCTTAGATTTGCCCTGAGGAGGTTCCCCCAATCGTCAGTCATCGGCTCTGACCCCTTGGGTATGTTTTGGCTAGGCACTTCAGGCTGTAAGCGTGCCTTTAACATGGCCCAGAAGCGGACAAAGATTAGAGTAATGGGGTCTCTTGCGTGGTCCCCGATGTCTGCTGCAATGTGCCATCGCTTGTTCGACACTGTTGTGTCAGAGTGGTCCGCCATCTTGGTGGCACCCGTCTTTGCATTGCTTAGGGAGGTCAATGTGCTTGTCATTTGGTGCGGGGTTCGGGGCACTCCGCCTGGTGGGGACTGTGCGGGGGCGGGGGTTTGTGTTTTGTACTCGTGTATTGCGTTTAGCATTTGATGGGAAAGCAGCCGTCCTTCCCCCATGCCTCCGCTAGGCCTCATTCTGCAGCTGCACTCCTGGTCGAGCCAGGTGTAGAGTATGGTGTCGGCAGGTTCGTGGCTGCTTCCATTTTCCAATGAGCTGATTTGTGGGTGAATCACAACGTTTAATCTCTGGTTATCCGCAGAGTTTGGGCCCTCACTGCAGGAGCTTGTGTAGAGTGCGTCTAGTCAGTTTGCCAGTACGGCTCCGCCCCTCTAAATTTTTTGGGTGTTCTACATTGATCACCTTACATAGTTCAACCAGTGGTGTATCCTGGTTTTGTGAAAAAAAAAACTCAGGCGCTCCACAACCACGCGCGACCCCCATCCATCCTCCGCAACTGACCCCCAACACACACATCCACCGACAGACACGATAAACCAGCTCAACAGAAACACCCACAGACAGACACAGACAGACAGACACAGACAGACAGACAGACACAGACAGACATCAACAGACAGACACAGACAGATCACGACACCAGACACAGACAGATCACAGAGACAGACACAGACACAGACACCAGACAGACAACAGACAGACACAGACGTGACAGACAGACACAGACAGACACAGACAGACACAGACAGACACAGACAGACAGACAGACACAGACACAGACACAGACACACACACAGAACACAGACAGACACAGACAGACACAGACAGACCACAGACAGACCAGACAGAGACAGACACAGACAGATCAGACACAGACAGACACAGACAGACACAGACAGACACAGACAGACACAGACAGACACAGACACAGACACACACACACAGACACACACAGACAGACACAGACAGACACAGACAGACACAGACAGACACAGACACAGACACAGACACAGACACAGACACACACACACAGACACACACAGACAGACACAGACAGACACAGACAGACACAGACAGACACAGACAGAGACAGACAGAGACAGACAGAGACAGACAGACACACACAGACAGACAGACACACACAGACAGACAGACACAGACAGACAGACAGACAGACACACACAGACAGACACACACAGACAGACACACACAGACAGACAGACAGACACACACAGACAGACAGACAGACAGACACAGACAGACACAGACAGACACAGACAGACACAGACAGACAGACAGACAGACAGACAGACAGACAGACACAGACAGACAGACACAGACAGACAGACACAGACAGAGACAGACACACAGACAGACACACAGACAGACACACAGACAGACACACAGACAGACACACAGACAGACAGACAGACACACAGACACGCACTAACAGACACGCACACACTAACAGACACGCACACACTAACAGACACGCACACACTAACAGACACGCACACACTAACAGACACGCACACACTAA